TTTCTGATCAATTGGAGAGACAGCAGGCTTGCACCCCAACATCCCTGTTTCTGTGAGCAAGTCTAGGACATATTTCCTTTGAGATAGGACAATCAGGCTTGCACCCCAACATCCCTGTTTCTGTGAGCAAGTCTAGGACATATTTCCTTTGAGATAGGACAATCCCCTCTGCTCCATGAGCCACGTGAGCAAGTCTAGGACATATTTCCTTTGAGATAGGACAATCCCCTCTGCTCCATGAGCCACCTCAATCCTAAGGAAATATCTAAACTGTCCTAGATCCTTTACCTCAAACTCCTTCCCCAACTTTGCCTTTAGCTGTGAAATTTCCCCTTCATCATCCCTAGTAATGATCATGTCATCTACGTACACATCAAGCATGGTAATGTGGCCACCCTGTTGCCGATAGAACACCATGTGGTCGGTATTGATCTGCTTGTAGCCTAGGCACACCATGGCCTTCTGAACCTATCAAACCATGCCCGAGGAGACTGTTTTAGCCCATACAACGACTTCTTGAGCCTGTACACCTTACCAACCGTCTGATTTGTGCCAAAACCCGGTGGGACCTCCATATACACCTCCTCCAACAAATCACCGTGAAGGAAATCGTTCTTCACATCACGTTGGTGTAATTTCCACCCACCATTCGCTGCTAGGGAAATCAGTGTCCTTACTGTGCTCATCTTTGCCACGGGTGCAAAGATCTCATCATAGTCAATACCATAGGTCTGACTGTACCCCTTTGTCACCAACCGAGCCTTGTAGCGCTCAATCAGACCATCGGGATTCTGTTTCACTGTGAAGACCTACTTGCATCCGACAGCCTTCTTGCCTGGTGGTAGTAACACAAGCTCCCAAGTATTGTTTTTGTCGAGGGCACCGAGCTCTTCTAGCATGGCCGCCTTCCACTTCGGATCTCCCTTAGCAACCTGCCAACACTTAGGGATAGAGACAGTGTCTAATGATGGAATGAATGCTCCATGTACAGGTGATATGTGTGAGTAAGAGACAAACTGGGTAATATCATGTGAGAAACCATATCGGTCAGGAGAGAAACCATATCGGTCAGGAGGAATGCCCGCATTCTTGCGAGCAGTCCGCCTTACCAATAAGGGGGTGGGAGGAGTAGAGAGGAATCATATCACCTGTGTATTCTGAGTCTGAGGTGGATGGTGTAGGTGTCTCAAGAGTCGGAGAAGGTTGACAAGGGACTTGGCACTGGTGGCACTGTAGGCACGGCTCCCTCAATCTGCTTGTTTCTCCTCACATACACCTCACGGTATCTCGACTCCCCCTGAGTCAGAGTTGTACCACCTTCGAGCTCATTCCTCTTAGCTTCCGGCTCAACCCTAGCCGATTCCTCCTTTTCCGGCTCAACCACAGCCGAAATCTCAAATGGGCAAGGAATACCACCCACACTCACCATCCTCCTCTCACCATCCTCCTCTCACCATCACTACTACTCTCCCCCTCTCGCCTCGTACCTTCTGTATCGAGCGAGTCTACAAAGGGTGATGTAACCTTTGAGTAGTATGGTTCGAACTCGCGAAATGTAACATCCATACTCACAAATAGTCTCCTCTCCACAGGACTCCAGCACACATACCCTTTTTGAGTAGCTGAGTACCCCACAAAGATACACTTCACAGCCCTCGGATCTAGTTTTCCCACATTTGGTCTGTTGTCCTGCACGAAGCACACACACCCAAAGTTTTTGAGAGGAAGAATATCTCCATTCTTACCTTTCAACATCTTAATCGGAGATTTCCAGTCTAACACTCGTGATGGCATCCGGTTGATCAAATAGGCGGCTGTCGGAACTGCTTGCCCCCACAAGTACTTTGGGACTTTCATCGAAATCATCATACTCCGAGTCACCTCAAGGAGATGCCTGTTCTTTCTCTTTGCTACCCCATTCTGCTCTGGTGTGTATGTACATGTGGTTTGATGTTGTATCCCCTGAGATGACAAGTACTCCCCAAACGCCTTGTTGGTGTACTCTGTCCCATTGTCAGACCTCAATACTTTCACAACTGCATCGTATTGAGTCTGAACTCCTTTATGGAAGTCCTTAAAGCAAGCAAACACATCACTTTTGTTTTTCATCAAATAAAGCCACGTCACACGAGAAAAACAATCAATAAAAGAGACAAAATATCTAAATCCATACACAGCAGTTGTGGGACAAGGCCCCCATACATTAGAGTGAATCAAATAAAAAACACTAGAACTCCTACCAAAACTAACATAAGAGCTCCTGGTGTGCTTTCCCAACTCACACGCATCACACACGAGTTTTTCCTTATTAGCCTTTTCAAACAAAGGCGGATACAACCTACTCAAAATCGGAAAAGAAGGATGACCCAAGCGTCTATGATGGAGCAGCAGCAAGTCCTCCACACCTCCCAACTCCTCCAGCTTCCTCCATAATAGATGAGAGGGCCAAGTCCATACCCTCTCTATCTAGGTACCACAAGCCACTATGCCATGTGCCAGTCCCAAGTTGCCTGCCTGTCCCCTTCTCTTGGAAGATCACCTTGGAAATATCAAACAAAACGACACATTTTAGTTGTGATATAATGGCACTTATGGATAAGAGATTTACAGGAAAAAAAGGAGCATGCAAGACATTAGACAAAGTCAAAGTGCTGATACATTTCATTGTGCCCTTACCAACCACGGGTTAGGCTGTACCGTCAGCTGTCTGAATGCTCTCTGGTACTGCTAGGTGAGTATAGGAAGAAAACTCCCTAGCAGCACCAGTCATATGACGAGATGCACCAGAATCGACTATTCAATCTGGTGATCTAATGGTGGATATAGAGGCAAGAGCAAGTGTATCACAAGTACCTGTGGCTGAGTGAGCAAAGGAAGCAAAGTTACCCCTGGATGAAGACGAGGTGGATGCATCATCTACCCCACTCTTCCCCTCACCTGCTGCTTTCTGCTTCCTCTTCAATGCCTCCAAAAACTCATGATCCTCTTCGGTAAAGACCACGGTTTCCTCACTCTCTCCCTCTGCTACTATCAGATGTGCTTGATAGCCTCCTCTTCCACCTCTCCTACCACCTCTGCCTCGACCACAACCCCCAGCATGCCCCCTTCCACCTGTATCTCGCTCCTTTGGTAGCTTAGGGTAAGCCTGCTTCAGGTGACCTATCTCACCACAGTTGTAGCACTGTCGGGTCTCGCCCCTGTACCCTGTGTTACCTGAATTGAAGACTGCAAGTGCTGACTTCACCCCTAAAAATCTATCTGCTCCAGCCTGTAGCCTGATCTGGCTCTCCTCATGTATCATGGCAAGCTTCCTCAAGTGAGGGAATCCTCGTCTGAGCCAGTAGCATAGCAATCCTTTGCTCAAACACCGGGGCCAGACCCTGGAGGAACACCATAACCCTGTCCATCTTAATCTCAGAACACATAGGGTCAGTGCAGCATCGTCGTCGGACCCTGAAGTGGCCCTGATCCAGCCATAAGCGAACCAGTTCTATGGCATACTCCTGTACAGTCCTCTCCCCCTGTACCAACGCCGAGATCTCCCTCTTGATCTGGTACACTCACAGGTTGTTCCCAGCACCATCGTATGTCCTCCTCAGCTTCTCCCAGACATCCTGCACCTTCGCTATGCTATCCACTGTGGACGCAATAGGCGAAGTCAGTGAGCTTAGGAGCCAGATATATACCTGCATGTGAGTCGACTTCCACTCAGCTCTCTCAGGTGCATTTTGACCCGGCTCCTCCTCTCCAGTCAGGTACCCCTCCAGACCCTTCCCTTCCAGAGTGTACCTCACCCGACGCGACCAGCTTAGATAAGTGGCTGGATCCTCGAGTTTCATATCGATCGGTGGCAACTCAACCTTCTGCTTCGGCTTGCTCTCACTCGCTGACATCTTGAATGCTCGCATCAGAACCACGACATCATCCGGACTCAGCTTTGACATCACCTCGGCTAGCGGATTCGTGCTGCCACTCCCCTCCTCCTTCTCGGTCGTCATCGATCTAAGTCTAGATCCACATCACCTCTAACGTCTTCCTCTTCCTTCTAACCCGATCTTGATCTTATCTCATCAAGATTCGAGTCCAAAATACTACAGAACTCAATCAACAACGCGATCAAAAAAAAAAAAACTTGCAACAGCTCTCGACCCTCTCATTACCAAACAAGGGCTTCAGTCTCTCTCTCCATGGCTCCGGTAGCAATGGCCTTCACCATCACCGAAGCTCAAATCCCCAGAATGCTCTTGAAGCCGGTATCGTGGGCGGAGGCCGACAATCTCTGTCCCCCAATTTTTAGGGTTTTAAGAATCTCAAATTCTTTCAAATTAAAACCCTAACCTGGTGGTGGAGAAACGGTGGTGGCCGGAGGGACTCGGAGAGCGCTGAAGAGTCGCCGGAGACGAGGACTCCAGAGGGAACTGATGGAGGCGGTGGAGAAGCGGTGGTGGCCGAAGGGACTGATCGCGATCTTGAGCGTAGAGGGCGGAGACCGCCGGATCTAGGGCATCCTCAGGTGGTGGCGGCTCTGATACCAAGTAGAAATTTTGAGAGAAAATGAATCTGTCGTGTTGTTTTTTTCATTGACCTCTTGGGCCTATATAAGGTGTTACATCTTACATCCAAGCCCTTATCTTTCTACAAATTGCATATCTCAACACTATGCTATATATTGTAATAAATTGTGGAGTTATCTTCTTACAGAATTCTTTAGAATATTTAGTGACAAAAACTATTGCATAAAGTCCTTTGACTTTATTTTTCATGTCGAAGTAAGGCTTGAAGGATTTATTCCATTAAAGGGAAGGCACCTTTCCTTATCATCCTAACACGCCTCTCCACCTCCACCACCCCACCCACGGGAATCTGAGATACAACCAACCTGACAAAAAAGTTAAAAAAAGGACACCCTGGTTGTAGTAGTCTGATATTTAGGAGAATGAGTTACTATCAATTTCATTGCCAGCATATCCTTTTCTGATGTGTTCTTTCCCCCCATCCAGTGTCAAAAACAATGTTGATTGATGAGGACGAAGGCATTGAGAAGATAATTAAGCGCTCTAGGTGCCACAAAGCTCGTTTACTCTATTACTTTCCAAAGCAGAAAAGGTAATGATTACTGCAGTTGCTTTTCTACTGATTCTAGTAATGATTACTGCAGTTGCTTTTCTCCTGATTCTATTAAGATCCCCCATGCTTGAATCTAAAGCGAAGAATAGCTTGTGCGTGCCTTGTATCTGCATGCTGCATGCACCATGAGCTGTTTATTACTGTATTTTATTGGTTCATCGCATCCAGATTCCAGCTAGGAGTAAAGCAGGTCATCATGCATAGCAAGTATAGGACGTAGAACGAAACTAATGCGTATCATGATGTCAGCAGCTCACACTACCATTCGCAAAAAGCTCTCCCTGAATGTTGTTGCTGATTGGGAGCCATTGTAATTATATCACACTTATAATAATGACAGGTTAGGGTCCTTTGCCAGGAGATAAAAATAGCAAATAATTAGGGGGAATAAAGCCTCATGCTGCTGTCATTCAGTGAATCAAGTCTCCAATAGCATTTCCTCTCTTATTGAGAGAAAGGTCCCTTTATTTTCCAGTCTTCTTCTCTCACTCACAAAGTTATCATGGTTACCTTGCAGTGAATGCATGGAAGATAGTAAATCTATTTCGTCATGGGCTGGCTGGCATACTGACTTCAGCTGTCTCACAGGTTCTTGTATATTGTGTTCTTTTTTATGGTATAAAATATGTTCAGTATCCCTCTATGACAATGTCTTCTAATTTCAAATGAAGTAAAAGAAAGATCTTATGGTTGGTATTAAAAGATATTTAAAGTTGGAATTATTATAAAAGGTGGAAATAGACATGAAGTGTATAAGTTTCTCATATTCAAATATATTTCTGACCTGAAATTTAGTGAAGTCTCTTTTATCTGAGTCACAACAGTATGTAATAGTTCTGAGTGATTGAGGTTTCCACTCATGTGTCTTTATACATTTTTGATGATATAGGATGCATAGTATACAGAGAGTGGTGTGCCTCTTTTAGAATCTTCTTCTTTATCTCCGGTATATTAGGCACACAAGCCCTAGTTCCAAACCTCAAGGACACATCTTCATGTATCTTAAAGTTTCTTCGAGTGCCTTCTTCCACATCTTTCTTTATCTTTAGTAATCGAGGATCCTTCTATTGATTTGTTTTAACTTCCATATATCGAAGAAGGTTGTATCACCATATTTGCTAATTTAACTCCAATTTGGTGAATTCTAATTTTAATTCCAGTACGATCCAAGTCCTCCAATATTTTTCTTTAAGAAGTAACTAAATATGCTAAATTGCATGAACTCTTGCGGCTCAAGGCATCAGCAACAACATTTGCCTTGTCGGGGTAATAATTGATGGTCATATCATAATATTTTAGAAACTCCAACCATCTTCTTTGTCGCAAATTCAACTCCTTCTAAGTGAATATATATTTTAAACTCTTGTGATCAGTGTATGTTTCACAATGTACTCCATATAAATAATTTCTCCACGTTTTGAGAGCAAACACTACTGTTGCTAGTTCTAAGTCAAGTGTGGGATAGTTCTGTCCATAAGGCTTTAACTGCCTTGAAGCATATGCTATGACTTTCTCATATTGCATAAGAACACACCCCAGTCCTCTCCTAAAGGCATCACTGTAGATAGCAAAGCCTGTATCTCCAAAGGATAATACCAGTATTGGAGCAGACACTAATTGGCTTTTCAGCTCTTGATAACTTTTCTCACATTCATCTGACCAAATAAATTTAACTCCCTTTTTGGCAAGACGAGTTAGAGGTGATGCAACACGGGAAAATCCTTCCACGAATTCCTATAGTAGTCAGCTATACCAATGAAACTACGGATCTCCGTCACGCTAGTTGGCATGTCCCAATTAACTATAGCTTTTATCTTTTCACGGTCTACAGAAATTCCTTCTTTAGAAATTATTTGTCCAAGGAATTTTACTTTCTCCAACCAGAACTCACATTTCTTAAATTTCACATATAGTTTTTCTCTCTTTAATGTTTGTAGCACAGACCTCAAGTGTTCTTCATGCTCTTCTTTGCTTCTTGAATATATCAGGATATCATCGATAAACACAACAACAAATTGATCCAAGAAGGGTTTGAACACCCTATTCATAATATCCTTAAATACTGCGGGTACATTTGTGAGCCTGAATGATAATATTAAAAATTCATAATGGCCATAGAGGGTTCGAAATGTAGTTTTTGACACATCCTCTGCCTTGATCTTTAACTAATAGTAACCAGAACAGAGATTAATCTTGGAAAATACTTGAGCTCCTTGTAGTTGATCAAATAGATTGTCAATTCTTCGTAATGGATACTTATTCAGAATAGTTACTTTATTTAATTTACAGAAGTCAATACATAGTCTCATATCATCATCTTTCTTTTTCACAAAGAATACTGGCGCACCTCATGGCGACACACTAGGCCGAATGAAGCTTTTGTCCAAAAGTTCTTGCAATTGCTTGCAATTGCACCTTGAGCTCTCTTAATTCAATTAGGGCCATGCAATAAGGAGCCTTAGAAATTGGACTTATACCGAGTACCAAGATTGAAAATTCAATTTCCCTATCTGAAGGCATTTCTGAAAGTTCTTCCAGAAACATCTCTAAAAATTTCTGGATAACTGGTATCCCCTTTAGGCTTGGTTTTCCTTCATCGTTAATTTTAACTAAAGCTAAATAACCCATACATCCACTTCTCAGTGCTCGATAGGCTTTATGTGCTGATATAATTTTCAAGGGTTCTCGGGATTTACAACCCTCAAAACAGAATTTTGGTTGACTGGAAAATTTAAATATCACTTTCTATTCTCGACACAAAATGGAAGCATGATTTAAAGGTAACCAATGCATTCATAGTATGGTATCAAAATCATGCATTTCCAGTATTACTAATTCCGCTAGAAGTTTCTTGTCGAGAATATTAATTTTTCCCTTATAATCCTGATTTAATACTAAGATACTACCCCTAGGTGTACTGACAAGTAATTCTTGTTGTAAAGTATCATGACCTACTTTCTTTCTCTTCATAACTATGCAACAATAAAAGAGTGCGATACACCAGAATCAAAAAGTACTCGAGCAAGAATAGATTCAAAAGTTATCGTATCTGTCACCACATCTTTATCTGCTTTAGCCTCCTCAGTCAAGGAATATACTCGAGCCTTGGCTTAAGGTTGCCTGCTGCCACTTTTGGACTGACCGGTCTTTAGAGTATTCTAATTCTTTTATATTTTTAGGCAATTTGCAATCCTATGATCTTTCTGCCCGCATTTGAGGCAGGCTCCAGTACTTCTCCAACAGTTCTTCACTTCATGGCTGAGTATATGATAAATTTCACATCTTACAACCTTCAGGTTCTGAAGCTGCTCCTCTCTGCGTCCTACATTATGTTTTTTATTTCTCTAATTTTTATTTCTCCCGCTACGATTGTCTGGCCAAAACCGCTTCCTTAAATAGGAGTTGCTCATCTCATTTCTCTCAATTAACAAAGCCTTCTTTAATACTTCTCCATACGTCGGGAGTTCAAATGCACTGACCGTCTTCCTAATGTCCGATCGAAGCCCTTCTTCGAAATGATAAGCCCTCTCCTCTTCCTTCCCCAACAAGTGGGTAGTAAATTTGGACAGTAAGTGAACTCCTCATATTCCGCTACCGTCTGGTCACCTTGTTCTAATTTTTGAAATTCTTGTTCTTTTTGCTTACGGACTGTCTAGGAGAAATATTTTTCATAAAAGATCTTTTTAAATTCATCCCTTGACATCTATATGCCTTTTCTCCTAACGTCCTGATGTGCATTTTGCCACCACCCATAAGCACGGTCTTTTAACATGTAGACCGCATAATCGACATTTTCCTCTTCAGGACATTTCATGTATGTGAAGACTTTTTCCATTTTAGTGATCCAATGTTCAACAATCATCAGATCGGTAGTTCCCTCAAAACTGGATGGAGATAGTTTCTTGAATTCACTCATCTCACTCCTTAATTTTGATTGTTCATTGTTCTGGCTATTCATTTGATTGCGATCAATTTGGTCTTCCTGACCGTTGACTATAGATGTCACTACTTGCAGTAATCCTATTAGTGTACTGTTGTCTACTTGGTTTCCCGAGGTTGATGTATGAGTCACTCTAGATCTCATTATCTCACTTATTGTTTGGTTGAGATCGTTAGCTTTGTGAGGAGGGTTGGTCATTATTCGCAGCCATATCTTTCTATAAATAATAAAATGTTTGAATCAACTATTGTACAAAAGACAAGTTATAAGATAGTCACATATACATAGGTAAGTACGAATTCAATCATTGCTCAACAACATAACACATGTTAGTACTTACAAGCCAAAAATATATTATTGAAACTTAACCTTCTAGTTCATACATATATATGTGTATAGGGTTAATGCATATACATGTTTTTCTACCACAGGGTCCTCTGTACACCAAAAGAATAACTAGAAACCCTATATACTATTCTTACAAAATTGTCCTACTATTTAAACTCTACTCCATCGAAGAAGAGGAGCTGTAAGAGCTAGACTCTTCTTCGGTTGGCTCAGTCTCCTCCGAGTTCTGCATACTATCGGAATAAGACATGGGATTTGTATCGATACTGAAAGTTCCCCATCCATCAAGGTTGAAGTCTACTATACCTAGAATACTTGATTCGCCCTCAGAGGAGGCGAGTCCTTGATTATCACTAAAAATCTCGGTCCCTGGGACTCGGTGTTAGAGAAATCGGACGAGATCATGATAATTTCTGAAGGTGAGGACTCAATTGGAATAATCTCCACTGCTGGCTCCTGGTTCTCAAAGGGACCAACCTCAGACTTTGATGAATCTATTGAATCTATTATAATAACCTCTACAGACTCAGCCTCTGATGGGTCTTGTGTCACATGGTCAACTACTATTAATTCCGGGTCAGTCTCATAAGAAGTGTATTTCCTGTCTTTTAGGCTGGGTTCCCAGGAATTGTCAACTAAAATTATGGAGCTAGACTAGGTATACGAAGAACTGGAAGATAAATGGTTCCCTGTCATCCTACAAAAAGAGGAACCATCTATTAGAGCCAGTGTTTTTTAAGAGGCCTCCAGCGGCGCTGGGGAGGCGCTTTGGGCGTGGAATTAGCGGTCCGCACAGGAAAGGTGGGGCGGGCGAGGCTACACTGCGGGGCGCGGCGATCTGGGAGCGCCCGCCGCGCCTGCGCGCCTCGTCGATGCGCGCGCTGCGTAACAGGCATAGATTCATTTTATTTTGTGGGTATTGGGTATGACCCGCTTCGACTAAAACGATTTCGTTTTTAAGGTTCAGTCATCGACTCGCTCCTTCCTTCTGAATTCCCGATTTCTTGCTCGACTGATTCCACTCGCAGCAGGATGCGGCGACGGGCGACTGTAAGGCGACTGCGATGGTAGGCGGCGCGCAGCGCAGCAAACAGGTGGCATTTTCTCTCTCTCAGCGATGATTTTCTGGCTCCTTTTCTTTTTTTCATTTGCGTTTTCTTTTTTTCTTTATCTTTCTCCGCGAGAGGTCTGTTCAACGTTCAGCGATGTTTTTTTTTCTTTTTTCGTTTTTGAGTTCTCTTTCGTTTTTGAGTTCTCTTTCTCTGCTCCTTCCCGATGTTTTTTTCTTTTCTTTCTTTCT